GCCGTCGATTGCAAAAACTGTTGTCCTGCAGGTGTCGAGCAGATTCAACCAGGCAATGTATATTTCCATGTCCTAGTCGAAGATTCAAACACGTGTAGTAGTGTATATTTCCGTGTTCTAGGCTTCTAACTACAGATTCGTTTCCATTTTTCATATCCTATGGATGGAAAACACTTTCTCTCTCTCTCTCTCTCTCTCTCTCTCTCTCTCTCTCTCTCTCTCTCAAAAGACGACATTTGCATCTGATAGCTCCTTAGTCCATACTCACCCCGGGTTTTCTTTTCAATGTATATGTCCGCAGCTACGGGAATACTGACTTCTGTGACCTTTTGGGACATACTCTCACTGGGACTTGGGGCAACTGGTATGGGAAAAACGTATTTGAACTCGTTGAGGATGGAGGTGAGGGCGGGGTTGGAGGCAGGAGCTTGATCGGGTTTGTCTGTAGGGAGCAAGTCCTCAGGACGTTCGCGATCAAGGACAAGGAAGTAGTAGGTGGAGTCGGGGTTGTGACGGGCCATRTGGAGAAACAGGTGGGGAGTGACGGAGTTTTGGGAGGTAGGGTAGGGRAAATAGGGGATGCCAATGGGGGTGTCGGGGGGGTTGGTGAGGCGGAAGAAGTTGGGGTGGAACGTGCATGGCATGAAGTGGTCCAGCGAAGGTGTTCCCAAAACGATGTCGCACATCAAGTGCATGACATCGAATGAGACTTGACTACTGAGGGTTCTGACAGTCATGATGATCTTTGGAACCGTGCGCTCTACTATGACTGCGGTGTCTTTTAGAGGAATAGTAATCGGGGAGTCGCAACCGGTAGAGGTAAGACCGGCTWTGYGGACACACRGGTCARTGATAAAGTTATTGGTAGCTCCAATGTCAAGGAGGCTCCRGAACTCGGTTGTAGACRCACCAAGGATGGCGGCGATAAACTTGAGGTGRAAGCGGGATTGGCATGGCGGTGGAAATTATGGTGTTGAGGCGGCGTTGTTYGGTGCCTAATTTGACAAGCCGATTGTGTTGGGCTTGTTCCTCAACAACACCACAGAAGGTGACGGAGGATGGATTCGGGAGAAGGGTAGAGGAACATGTACAAGTGGGAGYGGCGTCAGGTGATGCCTGGGGATCGTCCGGTGGGAAGTGCRTCATCAGGAAGGGGGGGGCAGACGAATTGTCGATGCCAATTGGACCATCGGTGGAACAGAGGGCATCACTGATGGGATGGCCGATAGACAAGTTGTCAATGTYGGGGCGGGTTCGTGGTGATCATGGGMAGAGTGTTCAAGTGGAGGAGGGACTGGGAGTGGCGGGTGCGGAAGCTGGGGGTTGGGGGTTCGTAGACCTGGGTGCCTGACGTGTGAATTGTCTGGTATTTKGACAGTTTGTTTGTTGACGTCCTAACTGTCGGCACTGAAAACATCCACCCTTAGCTTGRAGATAGGTTTGCTCCTCCGGCGTGAGTTTTGTTAGACGGGTGGGGTAGTTGTTTATAGGAGGATTGCTGGTGCGTTCTCTCTTTTCCATCCGCATGAGGTGGATGGTGGAGAGTTCGTTGGATGAGAGCGATGTGGTGTCWAATGGGTCGGAGAGGGTGTTGGGGTCGGAGGCAGTGAACTCGTCCGAGGGGTGGTGGAGGTGGTGTCCTTGGAGGCAATGTTGTAGAGGAAGCGAGGGCCGGGAGGGGCCGATGTGAGTGTCGTCTTGTAGGGGGAGAAGATGCGGTCAATTTTGAGGGCATGAGTGAGGAGGTGGGTGAGGGTCATGGGTGTCTCACGGATAAGGGTTGCCGCTAGGTCCTTGTGGCATACTGGCTTGACGTGGGAGATGAATGTCGTGTCACTGAGGACGTCGATCGGGATGTGCTGACGAAGAGAGCGGACATATTGAACAAAGCRTTCAGTCGGTTAGTTTTGAYGGAGCCGACAGAATTGGTCGACGTAGTCGTCAACTACCTTCTTTGGGTGGAAGGTGGAGTTGATTAGGGTGACCTTCTCAAGGAAGGAGTGAGGTGGAAGACCGATATGCTGGCGGTTAGTCATTTTTGTGCATCACCATCGAGCGGCGACATGTGATAGTTTGGTGTCGACGATGGGGAGCCWGTGGACGACTGGGACGCTGTGGAGGGAGAAGGCTTGCTGGAGTTTGGCGACAAAGAAGAAGACGTCCTCATGGGGTTGGTCGGAGAAGGTGGGGTTSTCRTTAACGCRAAATAATGAACGGATAATGCCGACTTTGGTGGCCGTAGCGGCCAGGGCGTTCAAGTCAAGGGGAGGGGAGGAAGAGTCGATCAGGGTGAAATCGTCAGCGGGGTTGGTGGGAATGAGCACGTTTGGTSGCAGTAGTGGAAGAGCGGGGTACAGGGCGTATGGTGCAGAAGTGACCTGGGTATAGGTGGGGTGGGTGGAAGTGATAGTAAATGAAGTCAAAAGAGGTTGTGAGTGGGGGGGGAATGGTCGACAACTGTGTGATGGCGGGGATTGTYGTCCTRGGTGGTGAGGTGACCATGGTGGAGGTGGTGGTGGATGAAGGCAGGGGTATGGATCACGTACTGGCGGAGAGGACGGTGAATGTGGAGGCGGAGGATGGAGGAAGGGTGGTGGCACCCGAGGTGGGCGGGGGGGACTTGGTGGTGACGATCTGGATGGCAGGKGTTCGATTTTCGATGGCGGTCACGCGAGCGGAGATGGTGGAGACGGATGTTTGGATGTCGTCGATGGATGAGTGGACGGATGTCACTATTCAAAGGATGGTCGCAAGATCGATGGTGGCATCGGGTGCAAGTGTTTGCTCGCCCGTGGTGGTGGATGAAGCCAGGGGTATGGATCACGTTCTAGCGAAGAGGGCGGTGGATGTGGAGGCGGAGGATTGAGGAAGGGGGGTGACACCCGAGGTGGGGGGGGGGGGCTTGGTGGTGACGATCTGGATGGCGGGGGTTTGATTTCCGATGACGGTCACGCGAGCGGAGATGGTGGAGACGGATGTTTTGATGTCGTTGGTGGATGAGTGGACGGATGTCACCATTCAAAGGAGGGTCACAAGATCAGTGGCGGCATCGGGTGCTGGTGTTTGCTCGTCTGCGAGGTTGCAGGCGATGTTGTTAACGGATTCGGTGCGGATCCCGGTTATATCTTTCAATGCTGGATAATTGGGCCATGGTGGGGGAGGAAGCGATGGTATGAGGTGACAGCGGCAGCTGAGGAGGTAACAACGTTAGCAGCGATGGCGTCAGCGGTGGCGCATTGGGAGTTTTTGGTTTTGCGTGTTATGCCCGGGAGGGGGCTCCTATTTACAAGGGTAGAGCAACATCAATTGATTTAGCGACGAAGATAATTTCCAAAAGTTCGCAAAACAAGAATTAATTTTGGATTAGTTCAGAATTTAATTTATTCGAAATTAATTCGAGAGTGTATTTTTCAAGAAATTTCGAAAAAGGTTTTGAGAGAGAAAACGAATGTCRGGAAATTTCAAATGAAAAAAAATAATTCATTCCAAGAAGAAAAATAAATTATAACTAAATTTATTCGGCGAATTAAGGTTCGGGGTATAATTTTTATAATGAAGCAMGATGTTGAAATTTCGAAAGGGATGATTAATACCTAGTAAAGAGATTAATTCAGTCATGAATTAATCGAATTAAGTCGAAATTAATTGAGGAGTTCATAATAACGTTTTTGAAAAGTACTTTCAAATTATTCTAAAAAACAATGCAGGAGAATTTCACAAAAGAGTCAATTGATTATGACGCAAGGCCCTTATTAAATATATATATATATCATATATATGATGTATTTTTGAATTTTAAGGAAATTTTAAAAAAGGAATTTTATAAAATGAAATATATGAGGAAAAAAATTAATGAGAATGATTTTTGAATTTCGAAACCGAAGCATCGAAAAAAAAAAAAAAAAAAAAACCTAGGCTACCAGCCGGGCCGCCCAGGTCCCGAGTGGCCAGCCCATGCAAGGACGAGGGAAGTTCCCAACAAAAAAAAAAAAATCCAAAAAATCCGAAAAAAAACTATGTTATGCAGGGCTTGCCCTCTTTGATTCGTCTGGTATTATAGCATAGTAGTGTATGTGGTCGGACACTCTGGGTAGAACATTGTACAGTATGCAATGAATGAGGACCAGGTTGAGGACCGGGCACCAGGATGATTTGTCCGACTGTTTTTCAGACTGTCCGAACACCCCGCTTTTTGGACTCRGTACCTGCGCCTTGGCGCAGTATGGGGCAGGCTCCGRGTATGCTGGTTTTTGATCCTAGGCTGTCCACTGCGAGTAGTACGGCAGTGTTGATTCGGTTGACGGTCGGGTTAAATAGGTGGTTTTTTGAGTGGTTTTTCCTYTTTCGCCGAAATGGCGCTGACAGGACTATGGGATGGACTGTCCATAGTCACACGACTGCGGTAGTCGGGGGAGGRTCAGGGCTGACCGTAGTGATGACGGCGGTAGTCGGAGATTTGTTGGTGGCGAGTCCGTCTTCATTTTTCATCATTTTCTATCATCTGCTGTGTTTTTCACTCGACCACAGTTAACTCTCACTGGTTAACGTGGGTSAWTTTTAAGGAMGCTSATGTTTGATGATGAGTATACARCTTGTCTTGGCTTTGTCYTGATCGCTGTTTACTGCCTGMTTTGCGTGCGTTGGSGTGCTTTGCGTGCGGTCTTGTATCATCCTACTACCTAAGGTCGTAACCAACTAGGAGATTGTACCTAGCGGAGGTGGCGGCTTATGTGAAGACGAGAGAGACGACGAGAGAGAGCTTCGAGAGACTGGAAGTGTGTAGTTGGATTCGCGAACTGAAGGGAGAGTGGGAAGAACGGTCAAAATGAGTGAGGAGGGAGAATCTAGGCGGGGGAATGAAGGGGGTGGTTCATTACCACCGGATGAACGAAAATGTTACAAGTGTGGGGAGAGCGGACACTTCATCCGCGACTGTGCCGAATATTGGAGAGCACGAGCGCATGGGAGGACTTTCGTTCCATCGGGATTACCGACAACGCAGACAAGAACTGGTAGAACCAATACGAGCGGCGAGTATATGAATTCGCGTCGGAGCCGGTCGGCTGACAGTGGGAACGAGCGTAACATGGAGAATACCGATTCGCTCATACGAGATTACTTCTTACATATGGCCGAAGAAAGGACGGAGAGAGTTGAACGTGAAAGAGAGATCGAGAGAAGGAGGCTAGAAGAGGAAGCAAAATGAGCCAAGGAGTTAAAGAGAGCGCTAAGAGAAAAACAGAGGCTTCAACGGGAAGAGGAACGAGATGCCCGCCTGATGCGGATCATTCGTGATGAGATGAGAAAGGAGCGTGAGGAAGAAATTGAGCGGTATGAACTCAGAGGAGGGAGATCAAGTAAGACAACAGGTCGTGCTGATGCAAACAACGAGGAGAAGGAACGCCTTCAAAGAATGATTGCATTGAAAACATTGGGAATGGAGGAAACTGAGGACGAGGAGCTGCTGGCGCTTCGAAGGCAAGCAGCGAAACAAGATCTTCTGAAAAAGAGGAAGCGGGGTCCGGGCATAGCGGTGGGGGATAGTCCGCCCATGACTACCCCGGAGAAAAGATCGAACACGAAGTTATCGGAGGAGGCTAAGGCGAGGATTGAATCGATTAAGGGAGAACAAGCGAAGGAGGTCGCAATATCAAGCACACCATCGAAGATAGACTTGTCATTGAAACACATCATGGCATCTTGCGGACCAGGAGGGCAAGAGAAATTCGAGAAAGAATGTCAAGACTTCTACGACGCGCTAACCATTCAAGAACTAAAGGAAGCCTGCCGCCGCGAGAAGGTGGCATATGGTAAGCGGGAGTTGGCAATTAAGCGGCTGATCACTCGTCGTTCGGCGGTGGCATATGATCCCTCGAACATTCCACTACCTGTGACGCCCCGCACTACGACAAGGACGAGTAAGGGCGTGGCTATTAAGGAGGAAGCCAGACCCGCGAGTTCAGAGTCGGACCAATCATTCTCGGATGATGACTCCGAGTGAGGTGCTTGTCGTCGTGACGACTTCCTGGATAGAGCGAATGAGTTGAGTAATCGAAGACAGGCGAATTAGGGTAAGTGCATATCTGATGAGAGGGAATTTAGAGCAGCCATGATTGGACTGATACTGACGGGTAGGGCGAGATGGGGTGAAAAGTTTGTGGGATATTGGAAKGATGAATTGGATAGGGGGACCTTTGACTTAACGGAACCAAAGAGTTGTGTATATGTCCTACTATCGCCGTGGCATAAGCAAGTTTATATTGGTTTGACGGAGAGGAGCCTCTGGGCAAGATGGCGGGAACACCTCTGTCAAGGGCGAAAGTAGAACAGGCGAGAGAGGACCGTATATAACTGGTTTGGTAAAGTGGGTGCACATAAGTATGTTGCCTTGCGGTTATTCACCAACAAAGATAGGAGGGAACAGGAGGCGGTGGAATTAGCTTTCATCAAGCATTGGTCACCATCGCTGAACGTGTGATCGGTGAAATCAAGGAAGGCAACGAAAAAGTCGAAGCATCGACCAGGGAAGAGAGACAGGAGGAAATGGACAGGGGAGGGGGATGACAGATCGAATGGCTATGAAGTTGATCGTGGGAGACTGCTAGAGTTACGTGTAGAAGGAACGGAGAATAGTACTGTATGGATCGTTGACMTGTTCAGAGGATTGAAAAGACGCAAGGGAGACTTCACGATACTGAGCAATGGAGGGTCGGTATGGGCAGATGGGTGGAAAGCGGTGAGAAGGCTCTTCGGTGAGACTCGGGTCAAGTTCAAACGAGGAACTAGACCGCTGAGAAGATGTAAAAAGTTGTTTGAGACTAATGGGGTGAACGTACTCCAGAAGGTCACCGAATCGTCACCTGCCTTGTTGGCACTAAAGGAGGAGATGGTGTTGATGTTCAGGAACCGTCGTAAGCAGAAGGATTTCTATGCGAAGGGGTTGACGAAACTCGTCAGGTACTATAGTGCAGTAAAGATGTTTACTACGAAACGTAGTAGATCTCAGGCACGATGTATGATTTCAAGGGTTATTCGTAATAAGTTTGGTATTAATGTGAGAACACGAATCATTGTGAAAACGGAGTACGATGAAAGGATTAAAAAACGTGAAGTAATGAGAGTGGTGAGGAGGAAGGTTGAAAGTTTGAAGATGGAAGTAGCTCTGAAGGAAATGGGAAAGCGTCGGGCACGGGTTGTTTGGAAGAAGGTCCCCAGCGTAGGGGATATTCTGCACAACCATCGACGATATGCGTCGATTCGTGCTTCCAGCTGTGTGTGTGYTGGTATGCCCTACCCCATGAAGGATGGGCACGTGCATTTCCGGATTAGCGAGCTTGAGGACGCTCCAAAGATTGTAAGAAACGCAAAGAATATCCCAAGACACGAAGACTGTAATAGGGAGGAAGTCTTGATGGAAGAATTGACAGAGGCATTCTGTTTGTGGGGAGAAGGTATGAAGCTTCTGAGAGACGGACTCGCTTGTACTACTGAAGCTTCCGAGAGATGGACTCGCTTGTACTAAGGAAGAGGCTAAGTCATGCTTTGTTAAGCGTCAGAACAGTATGATTGAGGATGGGATGGAGGAGGTGCTGTCACTAAGAAACAAGTTGGAGGGTCTGGTCCGTGTGCCGTTGGACCGGAACCCAGGGGACACACTGGTGYTGTGCCCAAGAGTGTACGAGAAGGGAATGAAAGACACCTTCATAATGAGTGATTGTTACCGCCTGTGCTCCGCGGACGAAGGACAACTGCTTGGTTCGGCGAAACGGGAGTACGAGAGAAGAGGTCTAACGACCCATGGGAAGTGGGACAATAAGGGCAAATTGGGGAGTGCGTATGCGCTGCCCAAACACAAAGATACCGAAAAGTATCGTCCAATCTGCCCCACCTTCAATGAGCCGACGGTCAGAGCTTGCAAATTGGTGGCAAAAGGGATTAACGGATTACTGTTTGC